AGTAAGTCGGGCTCATTTCCAGTGAGAGCTGGACTCCGCCAAGGCTGCCCTTTGTCATCGATTCTGTTCATTACTTTTATGGACAGGATTTCCAGGTCAGCCAAGGTGTTGAGGGGATCTGTTTTGGTGGCCTAAGGATCAGGTCTTTGCTTTTTGCAGAAGATGTGGTCCTGTTGGCTTCATGAGAACATGATCTCTGGCTCTCAATGGAGTGGGTTGCAGCCGAGTGTGAAGCAGCTGGGATGAGAATCAGCTCCTCTAAATTCGAGACCATGGTCTTGAGTTGGAAGAGAGTAAAATGTCTTCTCTGGGTCAGGGATGAGGCCCTTAAGGAAGACCCAGGACAAACTGGAGAGACGATGTCTCACGGCTGGCTAGGGACCGCCTTAGGATTGCCCCAGAGCAGCTGGCCCAAGTGGGGAGAGGGAAGTCTGGACCTCACTTCTCAGGCTACTGCCCCCCGTGACCTAACCCCAGATAAGCAGCCGAAAATGGATGGATAAAAATGAAGGAGAGATTTCTTGGAAGATCTCTTAGCGCAATCTGTAACACAATTTGCCCTCTTGAGGGTTTCCCCCAGTGCCTTATAAGTCTGGTAGGCCGCCAGGCTTTGCTTGGTCACCCACCAGGTTAAGCGTCTCCCCGGCCCCATCTTCTCCACTGTCACGGACGTGGCACGGCAGCGAAACTACCCACGTGCCCCTCCTCTGCTGTCACTGACGAAAAACTGTAGTGGAGTGATCCATGCACCCCCTCCCACTCTCACAAATGAGAAACTGTAGCGTAACGATCCTTTTTCCACTTTCTTTCCGCTCTCCTACATTTGTATCTAAGAGCAAGTACATTTTCATTCAATCATTCATTGTTTATTACTTAACTTTACATACTGCAGTTTCCATGGAGCAACAGAGTCCAGCACTACCATGCATGTAGAGTTGAAACGGTGTAACAGCTCAACAGGGGTAAAATTGCTGTAACACTCGCCATTCTGGGACAGAAGCGCTGAAAGCATCAGGTGTTGCAGTGCTAATAGTGCGCACCCACTTTGCAGGAAAGCATGGTTTAGATTTAATACAGAGCAGCCTTACAGAAACATAACAGCAAAATAACCCGTGAAGAATAGGTTACAAATGTAGATACATTTATGTCTAAACCCCTTTACAAGATCATGTTCCAACTCGTGAAGGAGCCTAACAGATAGTGTAAGGCTAAAACAGTCAACAAGGCTGAGAAGATCTCTTTCCCTCACCACAGAAGCATTACAGTGTAAACCGGCGGCTACATAACCATGAATGGACCCACCAGACCGGTTCTGGCTCACAGTCTCCTGTGCACATGAAATCAGGCAGGAGGGGAGAGGACGGCGTGTTTTACATGATGCCAGGACTGCTCAGAGCTACAAGTGTGAGGCTAACAAGCAGCTGTTCTCTCTTTGGGTTTTCCGTCACACTCAGCAGCTGACAGGTGGAAGAAGCTGACAGAAAGGATGATGGAGGAGGAGGAGGAGACAGCTGTTCAAACGCACTACAGATATAACACACACATGTGCACATTTGCACACGTACATAAACACAGAAAACAGAGGAATGTGCTTGTCAACATGCAGCGTGGAGGCCCTGACAGGTATCTGCCTACTAATCCAGATACAGACCGAAACACACCGTTAGTATAAACCCCGCCAGTCTTCACAAATCCTGTTTAACATGTGGGAGTTACAAATATCCACATTTATTGATTTTCCATCATGTACTTCATGGTTTTAAGTCAAAAATATCATCAGGGACACACTAGTGATAAAAAAGTCACCTAAAAGAAGTTAATCAAGAGTCTCTGACTGGTTTCAGATTTATTTATTCTGATATGATTCTGATAAAATAAGCTTTTGATAAACTAAACGATTCAGCATTTTCCTTTCAGATTCAACCATCTGAGGATTTCAGCAGTTAGTCGTTTATTTAACTGATTTACTTGCATTAAAAGTGTGCACACGTACATTAATGAGCAGTTCAGCCAGCTGCAAATGTCTCACTCTATAAATTCAAACTAATCATTTTAAATTTAGCACAAATATTTAGGTATAAGGTTGTAACTTTGCTGGTTTTGAATCCTGGAAATCTGCTTTACATCTCTTGTGTTTCCACACAGAAAGCTGAAACCGAACAATGAAAATAAGCTGCTGAACGTTTCATCGTTATACCCTGAAGTGAAGTCGTGTGCTGCCTGCAGAATCCGATCTGAAGTTCCCCAAGGCTGCTTATTTCCCCGCCTGGCTGTAAAATTCATGAGTAATTTCAGTCTGAGTTTTGTGCCGACCATTACATCTCTATGGGTTTCTTTTCTGATAAACGCTGCCTGAACCGACTCGGGAACCCATCAGAGCAGATCAGCTGAGGCTTCCGTGGATGGAAACGGCCATGAGACAACTCCCACTCACTTGTTACTCAATTTGTTTTTAAATAACCAACTGATTTATGTGTTATATAATGAGAGGAGGTGCTGCAGCTCTGGATGCTGGTTTAAATCCCTCTGCATCAACATAAATACTTTATCCGAACATGACGGGGTGCAGAAACAACAGAATAGATTTATTTATTTTTTATTCTGGAAAGTCTGACCCAATAATCCGAGAGTAAATCACATATGTTTCAACATTCATACAGATTACTCATTATTCTGCGTAAAAAGCATTTCCCTGTTTTTTCAGGTGGTCAAATAAATTAAGGATCTTACGGCCGTTCTTCAGTAAACGTGATGTGCAAAAATATCGATACACTGAAATATCGGTTATTTGTGTTGTGATACTGAATCAATATTTAAAATCAGCACACAGATTTTTTTATTGATACTTTACATACAAACGTTTGTGACATTTCTTTTGTGTGACGCAATTCAAAATCTGACTGCTAGGTGGCAGCAGCTTTTACTGCCCTCATTCTGATGGAACAAAAGGATCTCGCGATAATCCTGGATGCATTTTGAAGCATCTGAAATTAGCGTTTAAATTAGGTCTAAAAAATTGCTAATTTCGTCTGGCTTTTCCTATCGCCCTACATCGTATTGTGGTCAGGGTTATCGTCTCCCTGTGCTGTGATATAATCTGCCTGGCCAAAAAAAAAGGTCTCCACCTGGATTCAACTAAGCAAATGGGTACAAACCTCCTATTGGATGATATTACTGCATGGGCGATAATCTTTCAGCTGGCAACAAGTAACTTAACCCCAACTGGTATAAAAAACGAGTGTGTGAAAGCTGGAGTGTGGGATTGATAGGCGGATTGGTGCTGCAGTGATGCCGGCGTTGTACCGCTCTGTCGTGGTGAAGAGAGAGCTAAGCCGGAAGGCAAAGCTCTCTTTTTACCGATCGATCTACGTTCCTAACCTCACCTATGGTCACAAGCTTTGGGTAGTGACCGAAAGACCAAGATCGCGGATACAAGCGGCCAAAAGGAGTTTTCTCTGCAGGGTGGCTGGGCTCTACCTTAGAGATAGGGTGAGAAGCTGGGTAAACTGGGAGGGGCTCAGAGTAGACCCGCTGCTCCTCCATATTGTAATGAGACAGTTGAAGTGTCTCGGACATCTGATTAGGATGCATCCTGGTCGCCTCCCTGGTGAGGTTTTCCAGGCTCGTCCAACTGGAAGCAGACTTAAAGGAAGACCGAGGACACGCTGGAGGAACTACGTTTCTCAGCTGGCCAGGGAACGCCTTAGGATTCCCCCGGGGGAGCTGGTCCGAGTGGTTGGGAAGAGGGACGTATGGGCCTCTCGACTTAGGCTGCTGCCCCGGCTTATTCTAATTCAGATTAATTCTTTTCACCTGGCTGTAAATCTGGTAAAATATTTCATATTAAAATCACATATTAGTTTAGAAAACATACGACAGAGCATGATCAATGGTCTTACACCTTACAAAAACATGTCAGAAACAGCAAACGAACACCGTTGTTGATAAAACATGTAGACTTATGTCGGCACTGGTTTATCCAACCTCTCATCTGCTGGTTCCTGCGAGCTGACAGAAGCGGTCAGGTTTAAGAACACTTCAGCCATTACTAATAAAACCAATGCCAGCCCCCAGCGGAGCTTTAAAATGAATTGCTAATTGTTTTACACGTAGAAATGACCCAAAAAGAGTTAAACATGACAGAAAGCCTGGTCGTGTTTTCCATTAACTCTGCTGCAACACTTCATAATAATATTATGAAGAATACTTCCAATATTCATTAGGTCCTAAACAGTTATTAAATATGCATCAACACCCGCCGGAGGGAAATGTTTAAAACCACGTGGAGTTGGATGATGTCTTTCCCCAAAGGAACCAGCTATCCTATGGATCCGTATGGAGAAGAGGAAGATGTGCAAGAAAAAATAAAGTAGAAAAATATCTTCAAAGTGCCAAAGTAACCCTGGCAGGAACTAAAGAAGATGATGATGCCGTTTACTGAGAAAGAGGCTTGGAAATTTTCCTGGAACATTTCCTCCTCCAGTAGCACAAAGCCTAAATGATTCTGCAAGGTTTGGTTCCATAAATGAGGTCTGCTCAGAAGGAAAACTAAGCCATTTTATTTATAAAGAAAACAGATTTAAAGTGAAAGATAACAAAAAGGGCAGGCAATAAGGGGCCCACACATTCAAAGGGAAAACACTCTTTACTTCACTTACTTCACTGAATGCTGGCTGACTGGTGATTCTATGGTCAGGCGTGATGCTCACAGCTATAATAATGACAGCTTGGAGAGAAAGTTGGTTGTCCTATTGAAGCTCACTCATGGTTGTACTTCTGGTAATCTTTCTACCTAAACGACCTTTAGACACAGATTAAAGCCCCAGCAGATTTAGCAGACTCACAGTGACGCCTCACAAAGCAGGGCGTCAGCAGACCTCACAAGAACTGTTTGTGTGTGTGTGTGTGTGTGTGTGTGTGTGTGTGTGTGTGTGTGTGTGTGTGTGTGTGTGTGTGTGTGTGTGTGTGCGTGTGTGCGTGCGTGTGTGTGTCTTACTCACCTCTAGCCCCAGTTGCCATGTCTGCCACCTTCTGAAAAGCATCTAAGAAGGCTCCCGTCACCACAATGGTCGTCCTGAAAATCAGACAAAACACTTGTTAAAGATCACCTAAACCTTTTAAATTTTACTTATTTTAAATCAATTATGAGTAAAAAATCTCCCACAACTCACGCTGCCCCTGTCTTTATGCAGTTTATTAATGAGTAAACCATAATTCTTGGCCAAACCAATGATTGCTAGGCATAAATATGTAGGAAATGATCAAGGTGAATGATTTCTGAGGAACCCTGTCCCCCTCCCCTCCAGCGCACACACACACACCACAACTCAGACAAAACATTTAAAATGTTCCGGACACACTAATCGCTCATTTCCTGATGCAGACTGATATCCGGTCTATAAAGGATCCTTTCCTATCACAACCGATGACGCTTTTTTAAAACATAATTTGAATGAGTTCTCAGGAGGAAATGTTCCGACAGCTGATCTGACTAATCAGGATCAAACTTCCTTGTTATGTTTCACGTCACCATCTTTGATACAAAGCACAAACAAGTTGATAAAAGAAAAGAGCAACAGCTCTACATGAATAAACCTGGACTCTGATTACACTGGAGGACTTTTATTTTGAAGGACACATGAAAGGCTTACTCCTTCAAAGGCGGTGAAACTAGAAACCTTAGGGGACACACATGATCTTCATCAATGGTCCTTTTGTCTGTGTGTGCGTGTGTGTTGTGAGTGTGTGTGTGATTGCACAGTTATAATGCTTGGCTGGTAAAACACACACACACACACACACACACACACACACACACACACACACACACACACACACACACACACACACACACACACACACACACACACACACACACACACACCTGACAGCAGTGTCACCTGATCTTATGTTTTCAGGAGTACAAACCCTGCGTGCGTGCCTGTGTTAGACCTCAGTAGAAATTATCTTTCACAAACTAAAAGTTCCCTCTCAGGCTCCATATTCTTCATGTATTTTTTCTACAGCTCTGATGTAATCATCAAAACTCCACATGATGCTGTGCGAACGACGAGCTCCAGGCTGAAAAGGTTTCTTAACTAAAACTTGCTGTTTATCTTTGAGGCTCCAGGTGTTTAACACAAAAAAGTTTCCTGAAGTCGTGAATTGGGGCTGCAACAACGAATCGATAAAATCAATAAAGATCAATGAAGAAATGCGTTGGCAAAACATTTCTTTAAACTTTTCTTCGTGTCATGCAAACTTTTTGCAACAGTCAATGTGTGCAGCTCCTCTGTATACGGCAGCAGAGCAGACCGAGGCAGACCAGAACGAGAGAGGCATACATGTCGCACGTGCAATGAAAAAAACTTGTGTGCAACAAACTATTTTTTGACATAGCACTCGTGTGACATCTTTCCAAGTTTATTTCCCCAGAATTTTATTAAACAAAGGTAAGTTGCTTCCTATTGTGTAAGGAGGATGCTTTTTACTGGCGCACAATGTGCTAATTTATGTACTATGGGGAAAACAGAGAAACCAGCAAAGACACAAAGGCAGAAACAGTCCAAAGTTTGGGATCAAAAGTGCAACTACGGGCAGATTAGCTAATGCTAGCCAGTAGCAGGCTCAACAAGTGGGGTTCCAAAAAAACATGATGGTCGTGAAGCTGAGAATATCTAAACTCTACAAGCAGAAGTCCCAATCTTCCTGTTTATTCTTGGCTCTCCATATATCTTTTTTTTAAAGAAAAAGTTCTAAAAGTTAGGTTTGGTGTGTTTGTTTTGCTAACTTTTATTCTTTTTCTTTCTTTTATGTGTGGGGGTGTCACGGCTGCCAGCCTTGAGTGAGGAGCAGGAGCCAAGATCACCAAGCTCCAGTGAATCAGCCTGACACCGCCCCTCCTTCTCCTCTCTACCGGGCTGCTGAGGAGCACAGCTGAACTGAATCTACCTGATGAAGCACACACCTGCATAAAAGGGCTGTGCCTTCAGCAGTCTGAGAGGCAGCAGTGCAGGGGTTCTGCTGTCCTCCTGGTTTTTGTGTGTTTTCAACCCCATTCGTTTAGACACATTTGGATTTGTTGGAGTTTTAAACTGTGATAGTTTTAACTCTTTGGATTGGATGGTCCAGGGGGATCTTTGTGTGCTCGTTTTTTTTTTGTAAAGGTTAACTTGGTTTGTGCAATTTTACTGACTTCGGTTTTAAACACCTTCGTGTGGGTAAAGCTTTTAAAATAAGCTTTTACCAGGTGTTTAAATCAGTAAATTGTTTGGGACTTTTATCAACTTTGGGCTTTTAGAACACCTTCATTTCGGTAAACTTTCAAAATAAGTTTCTACCAGGTGTTTTTATAGTTAATAATTTGTGATGTTAACCTTTTAGAGAAATCTATTTGCTTGTGTTTTAATACCTTTTGAACAAATAAACCCATTTTAAACTCCGCCGCCAGTTCTTATGTTACCCCCATCCTTCACATTTTTACCAACACATGTCGGGGATGTAACATAAATGGAGCAGAACCACTGCAGGATTATGGCAAGCTATTGTAGCATGCAAATCACAAACCTGTCTATCTGTGAACATAATTTAAATTGGATTATTGCTAACCCATACATAATAGATATGTCACCATTACATTTTTAACAGTAGAAATTAATTATTAGCATTTCCAGTAGCTTACTACTGAAGATGTTAATGAAATACATAAATTTTACTGATCATTGTTTAATTCTAGATATACTGAGGTGATAGCATGTTGATTTGCATACTATTAAGCTGTTTTCTAATCATGTTCTGTTGTTAAAGGAAGGAGAGAAAAAATGTTTCCCTAGCAGTTTCTAAATTTGCCCATTTAATCCGATTCAATGATCCAAATAAGCGTTTGTTGCAGCCTTATTGTGAATAGTTGTCCATCATCAAATAATCAGTTTTCTCTTTGGACAAAGTTTAGTTTTAAACCAGATATTAATGAGATGAGGAGAAGCCATGTTTGCTGCAACGAGGGGATATAAAACATAAACCAGTCTCCAAGGCTTCTGCGGTCATCATGTAGAGGATAAAAAAAAGATTGACACCATTTTATTTATTGTATCGTGAGAGCAAAGTTCTTTGATTTGATGTGATTAAAGGATCAAATAAAACCAAATGTAAAGTCTAGATGTGTTTGTGTAAACTCGAGTGCTGCTGGCTGACTGGCAGGGCTAATGGACTGACTGGTTGCACGAGGCCGAATGACGCTTATCAAAGGTACTGGCCTACTAGGGAATCCAGCTATTATACTGGTCTCACACTGAGCCAGCTACCGAGTCTCTAATGGTTGTGTCTGGGACAGAACCCGCATTAAACATGGCCGACATTCACGTAACAAATGAGCTTCAGAGCAGGACAAAAGTAAAGGTGTTTTCTTTAAATCTATTAATAAACCTCTAAACACAGGAAGTAAACACCACCGTTTCTTCATGATGTGAAGATTTTTTGTTAATTTATTTTTTCTTACCTGAGCTGGGATTGTAGCTTAGCTCCCTTGGATACAAAGTCCTCCCAGGTGGGATAACTGGCCTGCAGCAAACAGGAAGAAAGATAAATAGTCACGTTGGTTGTTTATCTAAAAGCTCATCATCAAATCAAAAGAGCATCACTGGTATCTGCAGGTAACACAGTAAGCAAATCCCCTCCACACAGACCCACAGAATTATTCACAACATTTATAATAATCCACTGACTAATCCCTTTAATAAATCTGTGCAGCTCTGTGTGACCTCTGGACTTCACTGAATGTCACAGAATGGGAATAACAGAACAATTCCTCTTCCATCTTTTTCAGACTCGCATCTTAAAACTGCATTAAAGCAACAAGCAGCTGCGTTTTATTTTAGCTTTTCCACAGGAAACCAGGCTGTGAGATGCAGAGAGGGCTGTTACTGAAACAACTCTGTGTTCATGAGTGGCTGACATGTTCAGCCACAACACGCTCATATACATACATACATGGAGGTAAGGAGCACTATTCTAAAAAAAAAACCTGTTTGTTCATTTTACATTTTGTCACCTTTAAATGTTTATTATTAATCTCACAGAGTTTATTTCCTCCATGTAATATTTACATTACCTTCACTCTGAACAGCTTATAGAAAAAAACACCAGATTAAAAAGACTGGAAGTAAAAAATCCAGAGTTTTTGTGAACCGACTGAACTCTAAATCTGCTCCTGTTGTAAAAGCAGCCAACAGAAACACCATAAGCTCCAATAGGAGATGATTTTATGATCCTGGCATACAGATATTAAAATGATCCTTCATGATGACTTTCAGGGGGCAGAAGCAGCTCATGCATCTGCGTTTTCTAAAGGCGGCTGATTGATTATGTAACCCAAGGCTGGTTTGTGCAGCGGGCTCTGACCTTAAGGAGCATCTGTGAGCAACAGCTGCTGCTGTGCTGCTTATTAAATCTAAAACTCGCTCGGACCACAGCCTCAAACTCTGCTTTCTGTCTACTTATTTTCTTGATTCCAGTCTCTCTGTTCATCTTCAGACTCTGCTGCTCGACCGATGATAATACAGATTTAACCCCAACACAACTCCATTAGCCTCTTAGCTCGACACCACTGAAGCTGTTAGCCCCCCTCCCCTTCAGAGAGCCAGACATGCACACAGCATGGGACTGTCAGGTTTACTGGCTGCAGGGATTTAGCATTGTGTGATGAAATACTGCAGGTGGGCAAAGCTGGAGCTGGAATAAACCTCATTATGAGGCCCAATCAGGGAGAAAAGAAATGTGAAAAGATTTAAGATCTTTACTGAAGGAATCCAGGGATTATTGTAAAACTAAGCAAATTAGTCCGATGATCGTTTGACCCCTCCTTTCCACAGGAGCCGTCAGCAGCACGTTACTGCAGCACCACGTCTTGCTCGCGTAAGCTGCTGCTTGGCCCTTCCCACGAGACGCGAAGCAGCAGGGGAGCAGCTGTCACCGACAGAAGTCGCACGAAGTCACACAACATCAGCAAAATCACGCGTGACTTCATCAGTAAACACAACAACAAGCAGGAGAAAACTACAACATGGCTCACATAACTCACCATCTTGCCCCAAAACCGCAGATACATCACTCCATGCGTTATCCTTCTTGACGTGTCTTTATAAAAACTGACTGGGATCAAACAGGATTGGATACTTCTGCACTTCAGTAATCAACCTTTCGTCGTTCATTATGGAAAAACAAAGGAGACCGCTAGCTAGGTGAAAACTTTTTTTTTAAGTAAAGCAACCAGAAGGCACTACGTTTCTTTATTCTGAAAATCTCAAATCTCAGGAAGCTTCGCTCCGTTTCCGCGTCTGATTTCCTGTCTTTCCTTCCCCAAAAATGTTTAACTTGACCCGTTTCAGAGGCGTAGCGTGTAGAAAACAGAACCGGCGCGCAAGGGCCGCGACATGCTTCTCCTAGACGTGGCCGACTCACGCTGCTGACGGCTCCGGTGGAAAGGGTTCTGTTGACCACAGCAGTTCCTATCAGCGGCTCCGGTGGAAAGGAGGGGTAAGGCTTAGAGATGTTAAAGTAAAAACGTAATAAAGGTGTATGCTTGTATCAATAAAATAGAGATGTTAGGGTAGCCCTGGAGAACCATTCACCCACCTAGCTTTGGAAGGTTTTACAGCTCGAAAACAGTTTTGTGCCACACCTGGAGCTTTTTATATTTCAGAAACCAGACCCAGAGTGCAAGTGCGATGCACATTGTCATAACCTCTGTGGTATTTTCTTATACAAGTCATATAAATATATTACTGGCATTTTCCACTGTCAGAACAACATGCCGAAAAACACAGATGACCCCCTCAAAAGATGCAGGGAGCAAATTAGCCTTTTTGTCACTGGTAAAGACAATTTTTACATTGTTCAGCAATCACAAATTAGTATTTTTTTTATCTACCGGATGCTTTACACCGATGTGTTGGATTTCCTGTTTAGCTTGACGCATTCTGGACATGGGGCATGGCTTCAACTATTTTATTTGTGAGCCTTTTATCCACTGCTATATGGGGATTCTGCACAGATTTTCAAAAATGTTGACATCAATAACTAATGTACAGATGTCAATCAGAGCGTATGAGGACGCACTAAGACAGATGCAGATTTGGCAACCTTTCTCATGGATGAATAAATCTTTAAAGTATATATATATATATATATATATATATATATATATATATATATATATGAATAAACAGCACAGCGTTAGAGGTGCATGTTCACGTATGAGAGGCATTGTTACAAGCAGTAAATCGGAAGTGATGAGAACAGCTTAAGGTGCGATGCATTTGTCAGCCTCTAGATGGTGCCAACTGAAAAAAGGGCCTCGAGGATTGTAGCTTTAAAACCTGAAGTAGGTAGCATCCCCGTGGATGCTTTTGAATATTATATCAGAGAGAATCCGAGTGAAATTTTCTTTTGGACTAATCTGGTATCTGACTGCATTCATTATGGCCCAGTCACATTTAGCATGTAGAACTAGCAACAGAACCAACCCAAAATGTGTTCAGATCCACTCAACGCAGTTTTTACTGCAGACTTTTTCCTTAAAATATAGATTAGTGCCTGTAGATGTGACACACACACACACACACACACACACACACACACACACACACACACACACACACACACACACACAATCTTAATCTAATTAATAAACTTTATCCTAGACACTGAATGTCAGTATCAATAAAACCTCCAGGCAAACCAACCAAGAAACCCAATTTGTCCTTTCATTTCAGATGATGAAACTCCTCGAAGGCCGTTCTCCATTTCTCACCTCAATCTAACATTCTCCCAAGATTTGTTGTTCTTGTCAGGAATGTCATGGCAGGTTGCAGACAAAATATTCCAGCCATCATTCCACAGTAAGCAAGGCTGCAAAGACCACAGACACGGTGCCACAGAGACTTATATATGGAGCACTTGATAGCAGTAGTATCTAAAATGGGGAGTAGTGACCTACAGAGGTCACTGGTGGTTTATGAGGGGGGGGTGTCCTAGACAGCTGCCAACAAAACAACTGTCGATTCCCATCTGGCCACACAGCTATTTTTATATCTCTGGTATAATTCAGCTGTTAGGGAGAAAATACATCAAATTAAATACAATTGGTTGCTTTGGTCCGAAATGCGTTATTGGCAGAGGTTTTTAGACAATTGAGAGAGAATCCATCAATCCATCCATTTTCTTTGGATTATCCATAGTCGGGTCGCGGGGCAGCAGCCTAAGCGTAGAAAACTCATTTCAGCCGCTTGTATCTGTGATCTCGTTCTTTCAGTCACTACCCAAAGCTTGTGAACACAGGTGAGGTTATGGTAATTATAGCTATACAGTGTTAAAATGTTGTTAAAAAGGCATGAAAGCCATCGAACTACCACCATTTGTAAAACTGAAAAAGATGCGGGTGAAGCAGAATGGAAGGGAAAACATTTGCAGAGCTCCCGCCGCTTTAAAATGGTTGTTTCTGAACTCCCAACGCCCAAAAATATGTCAGAAACCCCCCACCACGCAATTTTTGCTTTGAACTAAATTAGCATGTCTTTACTGAAGAGACCTTATAAATTCAAGCTGCCTGGAGCCCAAACGGGACAGGCTATGTGCTCCACTGGCGCTAACACAGAGACGTCTTCCCCTGTGGAGGAGACGCTGAGCTGTTACTCTATCTGTTCAGGCAGCCAAACCACATTAACAGGTATGCAGTTACATACGCATGTGTGTGTGTGTGCGTGTGCGTGTGTGTGTGTGTGTGTGTGTGTGTAGTTGAGTGTTATCAGCGTCTAATCCCACTATAATAATCCCGACTTGCTCTGCTGACCAACAGAAAGATTACAGTAATGACAGATGGAGTGATGTGAGAACTCAGGAAAGTGAGAATCCTGCCCTGTTAACCTTTTCAGAGTCTAAACAGACTTTATCAAGTCTTTCATTCCACCAGTCAGTCAACCAGTAACCCATTCATCAGCTGAGAGATAAATCAATCAGGAATAAAGAAGAGTCGCTGGAGTGCTTTGACCCCGATCAGAAAATCCATGCAGGTCTTGTTAGTTTCACCAGCACTAGAGGAGGACTAGTTAAGATCGATTATCTGCTGAATATTTTCACGTCAATATACCAAAGATGTGTTCTGCTTCTCAGAGAACTGTTAAACAGAATGCTTCCTGCTGGTTTTAGATCATGAACACAGCTGATTTGTTTAATTTAGTGACTAATTACTTCTGCAGACACAAAGCAAGGCTGGGGAGACATTTCAGCTGTCTGGTTAAGGTGTTAAAAAGACAAACGCACAGCAAGGTTTGCTTCCTGTTCGAAAAACAGACCATGCTAAAAAAGAGCCAAAACTGACTAGTTCCCCTTTAAAGCAAAATCTGTTTTACATATAGAAAATGATTGTGGCCGTAAGTCCATATTAATTAGTGTGTGTGTGTGTGTGTGTGTGTTAATAAACATAATAATGAAACAATATGGTTTCATTTACACCAAACATAATCACCCGGGTCTGGATTTTCAAACAATCATTTTGATCATTA